AATAAGAGATTAGACTTTAAGGAAGTAAGTAGCCGGTTAACTGAATATAATTATCGTAGCATTTTTGAACACTATGCTCGAAGGATCAATAGTGATGGCAAAATTTTTAAAAGGAGCGGTGCTGAGAATTAGCCTTGGCAGTTTAAGTATGAATTTAAGGAAAGGAGTATGGATTCGTCATAGTACTGGAGAGGGAGGTAATATATTTTCCTTTGTACAGCAAGCTCTTAGTTGCAATAAATTAGAAGCGTTACAGCAAGTAGCAGCAATAGCTGGTATTAGTGCTAGAGATAATGATTATCATAATGACAATTATCAAAATAATGTGCCAAAACTTAAGATTGTGGGACAAGAAAATACGCAAGCTGGTCCTATTATCAATGAATGGTGCACACAACCCTACGTTCCTGCGTCTGCAGCTAAATTTGATCCGAATGTTCATTTGGCCTGGATGCTTAAAAGTAATATTATTGATGGTATCTATTATTACAGAAACAAGGAGAAGCAATTGATAGGTTTAACGGTCAGATTGGTAAGTACTCAAGATGGTAGCAAGCAGGTACTACCAGTTAGCTACTGCCGGAATGAATCATTACATAAAGAATCCTGGCGATTAAAGGGTTTTAGTGATAATGGTTATAAACCAATCTATCATATAGAGAAGTTAGCAGATGACAACAGAACTATATTAATAGTAGAAGGTGAGAAGACCTGTGATAAGGCACAAGAATTGCTACCAGATTATCTGGTACTATCATGGCTGGGTGGCAGTAATGGATCCGCTAAAGCAAATTGGCAGCAATTACGAGGTAGAGAAGTAGTAATTTGGCCTGATCATGATGGGGCAGGTATCAAAGCAGCTAGAACAATAGGACAAATGATTAATGAGGCTAATGGGCATATTGGTCGTGTAACTATCATTGATCCAAGTAGGTTAGAGTTTCACGGCCAAATACACAGTAACATTTTACCAGAGAAATGGGATCTTGCTGACAAATTACCAGTAGGTTTAACTATAGCTAATCTCAAGGAGGCCATTATTCCATTGTCAGCAGCAAAATATTTCCTTGTCTATACTCAAGCTATAGCTACAAACTTACAGCAAGTACTACCGCAGCCCCAAGAACTAGCTATAGGAGAGCGAATATTGTGGCAAACCAGAAGTAACGGGATTCTACTTGCAATAGAGCAAATAAGACAAGAGGCTGCAAGAGAAGTGATATGGCAAGAAAAGCTTAGCTCACCAGAAGCTGAGTATTATATGAAATATGCTGAAACTAGAGGAAAGGGTGGTAGTAAAGATGAATTTTTAGGGTTGCAAGCTGCTCTATACCGAGATACATTAGTTGCTATAGCCGTAAGTAGCAAAATCAAAGATAAAGAATCTCTAGAATTACCAGGATTAATACAACAATTGCAAGGAGAATATGAGCAAAAACAAAGAGCTTTAAGCCATATTAGTACTTATTGCAATTTTGGTGATGATGAGCATTATCAATCTCATGTCAAAAGTTTAGAATCTTACGGTATTGATCGGGTAGAGCTATACCAAACTATGGTCAGGGATGTAAGCTTATTACATCAAGAACAGTTAAGCACAAGAGGAGGTAGAATAATTAGGCTTCAACAGAAAGCCATCCAGCAGGAAATATATAGGCAAATTACAGCTTATAAAGTAAGGCAAGCTAAAGCTCAAGCAAGTAGTAAGTTAGATTATGATGATAAAGTAAAAATAGCTACAAAATCTATGATAATCTTTGTAGTCACAAGTGGTGGCAAAGTTTGGTAGTAGCAGACTTAAACCACGTGCACAAACTACAGCAAGAAACTCAAGAGAAGACTCTCTACTTGCAAGAACGAGCTAGGCAACAGGTTAATAATCTTAAGAAGGCTGATACCATCAATAAATTACAGACACAGATCCAAGATGTTATTGCCGGCCTGAAAGTTACTAAGCTATCACTTCCACGTATCAATATCAGCAAACTGCAAGAAAAAGCTTGCCTATATGGACTTAGCAGAATAAACGAGCAAACAGTATCTAGGGTAAGTGATCATCAAATAAAAGCTCTAGTAGCCCGCAGTTTATTTGAAATAAAATACGAACAAGAGATTAATGATATACTACAAGGCATTTGGTATACTGACAATGATAATATGCCAATGCCAGTAGCGCATAAAATTAAATGCCTAGTAGATGCTAGTAGAATTACCAAAATGGCTGGTTACGCCATTGAAAAAATGATGATTGACAATCCAGAACAAGATTTACAGTTGCAAAAATTAGCCGGGCAAATTATCATGGATTCTATACAAAAATATCAAACAAGAAGGGAAACAATCAAGTTAACACTGGCAACGGATATAGTGCAGAAATTAGCCAGTTATGGTAAAAAGTTTCAACATAATATAGCAGAGCAGTTGGTTGATCATATATGGCAAAACGGTTCTGAGCAAATAGCAGATGAACAATTGGAGCTAATGAAAAAGTCAGCCATAGTAGAGCAGCAATTAATATTTCTGATTAAGCAACAATTTAGGGAAGACTTACCAGAAGCCTCCACCAACTTACCAACCAATGAGCAGTACTTAAGCAAAAATATAGAGGCTAGCATAAGTTTTGCTGTTAGTAAAATACGTAATAGTATCTATAGCATGGTCAGTAGCAGTAGTAGTGATCATTCATCTCAAATATTGTCAGATAGCCATTAAGATGTGCAAGAATTAAATCCTTTAAGCCATAAAGAGTATAATAAAATCATCAAACAAACAATGAATTACTTTAATCAAGCACAGGAAGATCTAAGGGTAGAGCAAGATATACAGGAAGATAGACAACAGCAACAATTGCATAAAAATCATAGTATGTTTTTGAAATTATAAATTTCATGCTGATATTTGATCCTGCAATATATAAAAATTAGCTCATCTTGGTTTTGGTATCTATAAAGATCTTATATAGCTAACCTAAAAAGGTTTTAGGCATTCTTACGATGCAACAGAGCTTGAAATAAGCCATTTAGTATATATTGTCATGCCTAAAACCTTTTTAGGTTAGCTATAGACCTCAGTAGGAAATAATTATATACTATTCTAACCTTTAAGATTATTAGTAGGCAATGTAGAACAGAATGTAGTTCTATATAAAATTGGCTAGAATTCAAATTATGCTTTCAGTAAAAAATAATAATAGTAATATTTGAGGTAATCATGAGAAAACAAAATGTGTCAGAAGTATCAGTGAAGAGCACTAAAGAGCAAATTTTAGCCGCCTATAATGAGGTGTTAGTGCAATTAACTGAGAAGCAAATAGCTAGCCCTGCCGAACAAAAGCAGAGACAAGATGAGCAAGCTGTTATAACGAAAGCGGTTAGCCATTCATCTGATACTATATTAACTGACCTGAGTACTTTAAAATCTAAGATAATTAAACAAATTGATAATTTGTCAGAGCAATTACTTGGAGAATCTCAAAAATTGGCCAGCATACGTGAAGCGATTAGTTTAGAACAAAAACATTTACAAGAATTATATCAAATTAATGAAACAGCTAATACCTTGTCTGCCTTGTTGCAAACCCAAACTGAACAAAAAGAACAGTTTAAATCAAAAATGGAACAAACAAAACAAGCTTTTGTACAAGACATGACCACCAAAAAAGCTCAATGGCAACAGCAAAGCGAGCAACTTGAGAGAGATTATAAAGAACAGCAAGAGAAATTGGCAAAAACTAGAAAGCGTGAGGAAGAAGAATATACTTATCCCTAGAATTAACACGTCGTAAGGAAATTGATGAATATAATAATAAGAAAGCTAGTATGGAGAAAGAATTATCGGATTTGCGAGATAATCTATTAAAACGAGAAGCTGATTTAGTTGAAAGAGAAAGTAACCATACATCCTTAAAAATGCAAGTAGAACAAATTCCAAATTTAATAAAAGAAGCAGTAAATAACGCAGAAGAGTTACTGCGCACTAAGATGTCACAACAATATGATTTTGATATGCAACTGAAACAACAAGCACATGAGAGCAAGTTAAAGTTGCAAGAGCAAAGTATTAATTATCTTGAAGATAAGATTACCAAGCAAGAGATGTTAATAAAAGAACTAACTACCAAAGCCGATATGGCAACGCAGCAGGTTCAATCGATTGCTTGTCGTGCTTTAGATACCTCATCCCAACGTTTTGTTACTTTAAATGCCAGTCATGATAAAGAAAAGGCCTTATAATATGTACACCGAATGCAAAAAGCTTTAACTCAAATGAATATTCAATTACATAAAAGTGATGTAGTGATATTACAGGTAGTATAGAGATCAGGATTATTAAAGCAAAGGGACAAACAACTTATTTAACAATACAGTCATATGTACATAAAGCATTAAGTCACAGTACACTAAGATAAGTGCCTATAGAGAGTAACTCAACAGCTGCTATCTGCTTATTAGTATTTTATCTAATTCTATTTTATCATCTTGTTCAATGCAATTAACGGCAAAGGTATGAAAATAGGAGTATGAATTTACATAATGTGAGAAGCACGTGATTGAAATTTTCTGTTTTATTTAAAACCCTGAGTTTTTAGAAAAAACATACCACTATTTCACATATTTTAAGTAATTTTTTTGTACGAGTTCACGATTTTTAAAAATGCTAAAAGTCCTGTATGTATACCTTTTCAGGACATAGGTACAAAAACTGAATTTAGAAACTCAACGATACTATACCGTTTCCAGAGGTAGATAAAAATTATGCTAAAAATATCTAAGGTTTGCAAAGCCTTGCGTCAGCACGGTTACAATCACATCTAAAAATTGTGAACGCATACATTTTTTTAATTTTAGGTAATAGCTTTTTCGCTTTGTAAAATTATTGAATAAAAAATTGCCAAAAACTATTACATTTTTAAATTTAGCTAATACTGCTGCTATCTAACAGAGCAGCATAATTCTCCAATGTATAAGTATTGAATTATATATAAAATAAATTCAAATATCCTATGACAATTGCCAAATATCATTCTTATCGTTGCATAGCCATTCTTGTAACTTAGTATAACGCATTAGTCCTTTATTGTCTTTCACTGCTATAGCTAATGCTTTTTTCTGGCCAATGATGATTACTAAATTTTTACCCCGTGTGATCGCAGTATACACAAGATTACGTTTAAGCATGGTAAAACTTTGCATGGTAAGGGGAATCACTACCACTGGATATTCAGATCCTTGTGATTTATGAATAGTTGTAGCGTAGGCAAGGGTGATCTGGTCTAGGTCAGTATAATCATATCTAACTTCTCGGTTATAAAAGCTGATTACCACCTCTTGGTTTTCTTGATTGATGCTCCTAATGATTCCTATATCACCGTTATATACTTCTTTATCATAATCATTTTCAGTTTGCATAACTTTATCATTAACAGCAAAGATTTGACCATATTTTTCTATGCCAAAGGTATGATTAGGATTTAAGGCCTTTTGTAACTCAATATTTAATGATCTTACCCCTGTACCACCTCTTTGCATTGGTGATAATACTTGTATATCATCTATAGAATTAAACTTAAATTTACTTGGTATACGATCTCTAACTAAATTTACTATTTTCTGAATAATGTCTACACCAGGTTCAGCATTAATAAAATAGAAGTCTGATTCTTTATCTATATACTTAAGGTTAGGGAGTAAGCCTTGATTTACCAGATGAGCGTTAGTTATAATGTTACTGGTTTTTGCTTGTCTAAATATTTCTGTTAGTCTAACAGTTGGTATAGTATTTGAATCTATAATATCCTTAAGCACTTGGCCTGCACCTACTGAAGGTAATTGATCAACATCACCAACTATCAATAGTGCAGATTCCAATGATATAGCCTTTAGTAATGAATAAAAAAGTGGGACATCTACCATTGAAGTTTCATCAATTACTAAGTAATCACATTCCAATTTGTTATATTCGTTATATTTGAATTTTCTCTCAGCTGGATCTATTTCTAGCAATCTGTGTATGGTAACAACTTTTAATCCTGTACTTTCACTCAGACGTTTTGCAGCTCTACCAGTAGGAGCACATAGTTTAATACATAACTGCTTAGCTTTTAAAATTGAAAGTATAGAATTAACCAGAGTTGTTTTACCAGTACCAGGTCCACCAGTAATTACCATGACCTTATTCTGTAACGCTTGTTCTACTGCTATCTTTTGAGTATCTGCCAATTGGATCGTAAGTTTATTTTCTACCCAAGGAATTGCATTACTAGTATTAATTTGTTTCCATGCTACTATACCCTTAGATAAAGAAAGCAGGATTCTAGCAATATGTTTTTCATACAGGTAATAGCTAGTGAGGAAAATAGTTTCAATGCTATTTAGACTATCTCTAGTTAAAGAGCCTAGTTTTATCTCTTCTTCTATTGCTGTTTGTACTATAGATTCTTCTATTTCAAGAAGTTTTGTACTACTTTGCAGCATAGCTTGGGTAGGTAAACCACAATTACCGTTTGATGTTGCTTCTAGTAATATATAATTAACACCTGCTCTAGCCCTTATCAATGAATTCTTCTGTATACCTAGATTTGCAGCAATTTTATCAGCAGAGATAAAACCTATACTTTGAATGTCTTTTGCTAACCTATAGGGATTTTCTGAGACCATTTCTATTGATTTATCTCCGTAAGTTTTATAGATTCTAGTTGCTCTAGTAGTACCCACTCCGTGAGACTGTAAAAAGACCATGATTTCTCTAATAATCTTCTGCTCTTGCCAGTTATTGCATATTGTTGCTGCTCTAATCTTACCTATACCTTCAACTGTAGCAAGCAAGTGTGACTGATTCTCAATAACCTCAAATACCTGTTCACAAAATGCTGTAACTAGCTTCTTAGCAAAATGTGGACCTATACCTTTAATTAGACCAGAACCTAGGTATTTTTCTATTCCTTCTAAAGTGTTAGGTGGCATTGCCTTTAGAAAAGCTGCTTTAAACTGCAGACCATGGTTTTTATCATTATGCCAATTACCACTACATTGGATATACTCACCAACTGATGCAGAGGGAGTATTGCCCACTATTGTTACAAGGTCTTTATGACCTTTGACTTGAGCACGTAAAACACAAAAACCATTTTCTGGATTATGAAAGGTAACTCGCTCTACAATGCCTGAGATAAATTCTTTGTTGTCATTAGTTTTCATATGCTGATTTAGTCATCGTTGAACTAATTTGTCAACAATTATCCATCTTAGCACCCTTGCTGTGCTAGCTTTTGTATTCTTTATAATTTAATGTCTTACTTTAGGTGGTAGTTAATAAGATTATTTTTAAAATCGTAGGTTGTAGAACATTTCTCTAAGAGCACGAGTTTAAATAACTTCCCTAAAGTATGGTAGTATGCTATAATGACTTTATGTCAGATAAAGTCGTTAGAACATTTTTTTTAG